CATAAGCGAAAAAAGGTTATAAACATAAAAAAATTTATTCGCAAGCGAATGAAACTCGTTTGATACGAAGGTTGCGTAAGTTGACCATGTTTTCAGTATGTATTTTGCTCTCAAAAGATTACAAAAAGATATATATTTTTAAGAAAAATGATAATTTCAAAAAACAATCAAAAAATAATAACTATAAAACCAAGAAGTTAAAATAAATTACACCGTCGAGCTTGTATAAATATGCTTAACAAAAATAGTTCGCGAAAAAATCATTAGCCTACCCGTAAATGAGGTTATACCATCTTAGAAACCTGATCATCTTACGCAACCTTCCCCTACAAATTATTACTCATTTAAAGTTTGTTCTCTAATGTAGATAATATTTTCAACTTTGTGTTACGTTGATAGACCTTTCTACCTTTTTTTTTTAAACCGTGAGGTTTGTTAAATAAACTTGTAAATCTCGTTAAATGTAAAACTTTTTTTAAAAAGTATTTTTTTCAAGCAAGAAAAATTAAAATGGTATGATAAGTTGTATATGATAAATAAATAACTCATTTTTATTCATTATGTTTAGAATCGCAAATTGATGTTGCTTTTTTTGAAGTTTGTTTAAGTTAATCAGAACAAATCAGTTGTTGAGTTAGTTCCGTTCTTTTTTTACAATGCTAAACAACCTTTTCAATTCAGCATTACTGTGAGAAATATTATTCCTAAAGTATCTGAAAAGGTCATCTGAAAAGATGATATTGGAGGTCAACCTTTGTTTCACTACAGAATCGATATTTTATAGTACAATTTTTCTTAAATGATTATTCCAAATACTATCAACTAATAACGTTTCAACTTGCTCAATGCAAGTAGGGCACAGAACAAACAAACTCGTAAAAAAAAAAAAAAAAACCGACAATTTAAAACAAATCCGATTGGTTGTTAGTGGGAAACCGAATAAATTTTTATTTATTGGTATTTAATTTATGCAAACAAAGAACTCGAGTTGAAAGTAGTTTATTTATAAAGTCAACCGCCTCTGTTTTTTAATTGTTAACGTAATAATTTATTATTTCAAGATGGCCTAATAAGTCCCGAGTATTTCAAAAAATGATACTAAATATCGAAAACGATTTTTTAAATGGGGCTAAAAGTTATGACTATTTATGCAAAAACAACTTTAGTAGAAAAATTAACACTACCTTAGGTTTTTTTTTTTTTTTAAGTGTAATTTATTTCGCCGTTAAAGAATGTTTACATTGCATATACATACATCAAAACTAATGACAGGAGCAAGAAGAAGGCACATTTTGCCTTATCGCCGAGCCCCACATATAAAAAAAAAATTCTTCATAAAAAAAAACTCTACATAACCGTAACATACAAATGTATATAATATAAATATATAAAATATAGGTTAGAATTAAAACAGAAAGTAACTGAGAAAATTAAGAAATTCAAAATAGCAAATAACTAAGAATTGTCGAAATGCTAGCAACCGCTAAAATGTTTTAAAATCATTTAAACAAAAAATTTTAAATAAGAATAAAATTTCATAATTAACATTATCACAAGATGAATTTTTAACATCATTACTTAAATTTGATTGATATAAATAAATTCGTTTTTATTTGATTAAATTTTAAAAGAAACATTTGAAGTCAGATAAATTAAGAATTGTTTTGATTCATTTTTAAATTGTTCTAATGTAGTCTTGTTTTTGTTGACAATCTCTGGGAATTTTTTTCCACAGATAAGGTCCGCGATATTTAATTGAATAGAAGGTTAATTTTAAATTATACTTGAGAAGAACAAAGTTGTTATCAGAAAACTTGAATATTTATGATAAATTTTATTAAAATAGGTTTGAAAAATTATTGGGGACAATCCCATTATTGTTTTCAACATAAACAATAAAACTTGGTGTAAATTCAGTTTATACACATTTAAAGCACCGAGTGCACGTAAAAGTGGTTCGCAAGGAGTATTTCTGCAGGCTCCAAACACTATTCTGCATGCATGTTTTTGTTTGTTGTAGATTTTCTTAAGTTTTGTATAGCCAGTACTAGCCCACACAATATTACAGTAAGACAAATAGCTGTGAATAAAGGCAAAATACAATTTTTTCAGGGATGCTACATTTAAAAAAGCTTTAGCCTTATAAATCATTGCGATATTTTTTGAGAGTGTTGTTTCAATACTATTTATATGAGAATACCACAGTAAATTTTCATCCAGTTTTTCTCCTAAAAAGTTTACGTTTGTTTCCCTTTTTAATATAAGTATTATTAATTATAAGATTTGGTAATTTTATAGGTATGTTTTCTGATTTATTTACTTTATGGAAGAGTATGTATTTTGTTTTATCCACATTTAATGAAAGTTTGTTACTTTTACAAACCATTCATTAACTTTACATAACTGTTCATCAACTATTTTAAAAAGTGTTTTAATGTCTCTGTGAGAATAAAAAAGATTGGAATCATCAGCAAACAAAATTAGGTCTAAAAGATTTGTTGCTAGGTATAAGTCATTTATGTACAATAGAAATAAGAGAGGTCCTAAAATTGAGCCCTGAGGAACCCCGCAAGTTATGGAATATGGAATTGTGTTATTTTGATCATAATATAAAAATTGCCTCCGATTTGTTAGATACCCTTTGAACCTAAGTAAGTTTTTTTTTTTCACTCCATAGTTTTGAAGTTTTTTTATTAGAATATTGTGATTTACGGTATCAAAAGCTTGTGACAGATCAATGAAAACTCCTAAAGTAAAACAGTCATTGTTAAAGACGTTAGATATTTGATTAGAAAGTTCAACTATTGCATGTTCTGTGGAATTTTTTTTTTAACCAAATTGCTTGCAATACAACATGCCGTTCTCAGTTAGATAATTATATAACCTATTATACATTATTCTCTCTAGCAATTTTGAAAAGCAAGGTAGTATGGATATAGGCCTGTAGTTTAAGATATTTGACTTATTTCCAGATTTAAAAATTGGTGTTATACGGGCAATTTTTAGTTTGTCAGGAACAATACCTGTTTTAAATGAAAGATCAAAAACATGAAATAAAGAAGGTTCAATAATATCAAATACTGATTTGACAATATCAATACTAATTTTATCAAAACCTTCACTTTTTTTACTTTTGAGACTGCTAAATGCAGCACTCAGCTCGCTAAGTTTTAAACTAGTTTCATCCATAAGTTTGTCATAAGTTTTTAAGTATGAATCAAAAGGAGTGCAGTTAGATAGAATTTTAGCAGCCAATTTCGGACCAATATTGACAAAGTAGTTGTTTAGTTCTTCAGCTATAATAAATTTATTATAAACTAATTTTCCATTAATTAAAAGATTTTTTGCCAGAGTGTTTTTTTGTAATTATTTTTTCCAATTAAATCCTTAATTACATTCCATACTTTTTTAGTAGTTCCGTTGTGTTTTTTTAATAATTGAGCATAATAAAGCTTTTTTGAGTATCTTTTTATTCTTTCGAATATATTTTTGTAATTTTTATAAGTTGTTTCATTTTTATAAGATTTTTTTTTAAGATATTTTATATATAATTTTTCTTTCTTTTTTGAAGATTTTAGTAAGCCTATTGACATTCAGGGATTTTGAAGTGATTTGGTATTTATGATTATTTCTTTTTCTGGAAACGTTATTTCATATTGCTTGCAAAATTGACCAAGAAACAAGTTATAAGCATTGTTAGCATAACTTGATTGCAAAATTAAATTCTAATCAACATTATTTTTTTAACAGCATTTAAAATGCTTTAAGGAGTTTTCATTGTATACTAATACAAACGTATTTGAAATATGTATTGGTATCATAAAGTCTATGAATGTTTCATGTCTAATTTTTGTAATCCTATGATAGAAAAAAATTGTTAAAATGAATCCTGAATGTTTTGAACAGCAAAAATATCAGTTTGAAAAATGGTTAAATCTTAACAACAAGTCAAACAGCTCTGTTTTATCAGAATGTGATTATACTTCCATTATGGAATATTTAAAAGATAAAAATGATGGAAAAATTACTTCACGGAATATTCAACGAAGAATCAAGTCAAACAAGTTTAAACTAATTGATTACCCACCGTTAGGTTTGGACCCTGACCCTAACCCTGAAAAGATATTTTATGTGCTCCAACTAAATGTAATACAGAGGTAGATTTTATCTGCTATATTTACTGCATATATTTGTTTTCTATCATCACCGTTAGGATTACCCACCGTTAGGTTTTAACCCTGACCCTAACCCTGAAAAGATATTTTATGTGCTCCAACTAAATGTAATACAGAGGTAGATTTTATCTGCTATATTTACTGCATATATTTGTTTTCTATCATCAAGTAATTATACTGCATTATATACTGAAAAACAAATTTATGATATTATCTTATTATAAGATATTATCATAAATTTGATAAGATATAAGATTTATATTGTGACGCAAAGTTTCACCCTGTGTACACAATTTGTGTATACATGCATTTTGTGTATGCTATTTAACTTTTATATGTCGGAATATAATAAAAGTAAACAGACTATACAGCACATTTTATGCTTTTCGTTGTATTACAGCTATTTAATACAGGGTGAAACTTTTTCGTTGTATTACAGCTATCTCATACAGGGTGAAACTTTTTCGTTGTATTACAGCTATATAATACAGGGTGAAACTTTTTCGTTGTATGACAGCTATATAATACAGGGTGAAACTTTTTCGTTGTATTACAGCTATATAACACAGGGTGAAACTTTTTCGTTGTATTACAGCTCGTTATAATACATGGTGAAACTTTGTTAGATTTTAGCTTCGATAGATAGAAACTTTAATAGGTTTTTTAACAAAATTTGTCTGTGCATTAAATAGTAAGTTTAAAGGTAAATGTATTTACAATTATACTTTTATTAATATTATATCATGCTGTCTAGTATATTTAAATTGTTTTAAAATTGGTTTTAAAGTTTTAATAAGTAAATATCTAATTAAATTTATTTATTAATTCAGAATAATTTGCGAGAATCATCGCCATTCGGAAACTACAGTCGTGTAGCGAGTACTAAAGATGTTTTTTCTGCTATTAATATTGCACATTGCCAGAATGGTCTGCATCTTGGGGCTTTAAAAACTTATAAGAAGGTACTGATTACTTACTGATATTTTTATTTTTATTTTATGTTGTGCTTTTTCTATTGTGATAGTCATGGTATATTTACTTTTTATATGCTGTGGAAAATATGATATTGTACTAATTTTATCTACCTTCAGATAAATACTAACTACCTAAAATATTATAGTTTTCTACATTTTAAAGATTCAGTTTTAAATGTAGGGGCTTGCTGTATTTATAAATTAACTTTTCTTTTATAGATTATTGAGGGTTATGCAAACATTGCAAGAAAAACTGTTGAAATTTTTATCAGTTTCTGCCCAACTTGCAATTTAAATAAAAGGCAGTTAAAAAAAGCACCATTAAAACCAATAATTTCTACTGGTTTTTTGCAACGTCTTCAAGTATAATTAGTTTTTTACTTTAAATTTCTAACCATGTTTTTTTAAATAGTATACTCATTTGTTTTTTAACCATGTTTTTTTAACTAATATACTCAGTTTGTTGTTAAATATAACTTTGTTGTTTATTAAATGTTATTCTGCTATTTATAAAGTTTGACTATTTATATTATATTTATATACTAAATAAATATACTTAGATTGATTTGATTGCAATGGAATCTAAGCCAGATAAGGAATTCAGATATATTGGTCATGTTGTTGATCATTTCAGTAAGTTTCATATTTTGTTCCTCTGAGAAATAAAACAGATTTAGAAACAGCAAACAATCTTAAAAGGTTTGTGCTGAGTTACTTTGGTTTACCAGCAATTTTGCATAGTGACAATGGTAGTGAGTTTATAAATGATGTTATAAAATCACTTTTGTTAACATGGCCTGGGAAAACCCAAATTGTAAATGGTTCACCAAGACATTCTCAAAGTCAAGGTTTAGTTGAACAGGGCAACTTTACCATAGAGCGATTAATATCTTCTCGTGAATATGATTCTGGTCAAAGTAGCTGGTTAGAATGGTTAATTGAAATTCAATGTAAATTTAATGTAAATTATTGTTTTTTTTTTTTAATGAAAAGCTTATGCTCTAAGTTAATCAGTTTTATTGCCACTACAATGATAGAATTTTTTTATGTAACATATTTTGTTATCATTTTGACAAAGAATTTACTGTAATAATATAGGAAAAAATATTTTATTTTTTTCCCCTGAAAATCTAACTAAATTTGTATAGATGTTATGAATACTACATATGTAAGGAGCATAAAAACGACACCTTATGAGATTGTGTTTTATCTATTATTTTAAAAATTGCTGTGCATTTTAATTAGACCAGCAATTGTACACTTTAATTAGAAAAATGCCTCGTGTTATTTATTTTCCAGATGATGGAGGTAGTAACACTGCAGAATGCAGTGGAACTTCAAGTGATATTGAAGGTAACTTACTGTTTACTTTGTTATTACTTGTGGTCTTAATTATATTGTTGTCTAACAAAAATGTTTGACAACCATTAAAAATTTCAGTTTTCATGTCTTTAATTGAATTTTTTCTTTTCAAATACTTAGAAACATTTTGTTTTCAGAAAAAAAATATTTTTTGATCTTCTTTATTTCTTTATTTTTGTATCAAGGTGGCTTAAGTGATAACACTCTCACTGACAGAGAAGACAGTGGTTTTGTTGACTTTTCGTACCACCATCAGTCTGAAGAAGATAATAAAAATAGGATGAAGGTATAAAAAAATATTTTATAATGTTAATGTTTTTCAGTTAAAAAAAATCTTTCGAATTAATTTTTTTATTCAAGTTTTTATATCAAGTTGTGTTTTTAGATAACTTGTCCAATTCGCAAGAAACTTTGCCATGAAACAGCAAGTAATCTTAAAAAAAATGCAAAATTCATGATTAAAAAGTATAATAAACAAAAAAAAAAACTTAAAGTTGCAGTTTTCAAAGAAGGTGATCATGTCAGTGTGGCTATACCAAAATCATTGCGTAAATCTACAGATATGCTGCGTTTGCCATGTGTTGTTCTTCATAAGTCGTTTGGGGAAAATCCAACCTGTAAGTTGGTGACATCACATGGAGTTCTTGAAAAAAGATTTAATGTTACCAACTTAATGCCATACAGCAGTATTGTCAAAGTTAAAAGTGATGCCAATGTTAGCTTAAGTGAGGCCGTCTTAAATAAAATCACTAGAAAAGTAGTCTTTTGTCGATGTAAAAAAGCTTGCCAAACCAAGCACTGTCGATGCTTTGAATATGTACTTATGGTTGAAACGTCTATTCTTAAAATAGGATCATGTCGCCTACATATGCCTAATTATGGAATTAAAAATCTCATTGCACGTTCTATTGTTTCTGAAGGTGACGATAAGCGTAAAAATATACGTTATCCTGTTCAGTTAGACCGATGGTATTTGCAGAGGCAGAGTGTTTCTCCATATGAACAATATAACACTGGCAATATAGGTTGTATATTTAATGCTATAACGCCATATTGTGCTGATTCGCGAGATCCTTATAACATTGAGCAATGTTTTGATGTATTTTTGCAACCATTCGATGAGTTTGATCATTCCTCTGTGTTATTTAAAAATCGTTCTAATTATGATATCTGTGCAGGTGATAAAACTACGGAAAGCGTTAATAATACTTATTGGAATAATTTGCCTACGGTCATGCCGTTTAGTGGTAACAAAAATTGCAAGCGTTTATATTTTTGTATTGACCCAGCTTATATTGGAAAAGATGTTATGCCTACTACTGTTAGAGGACGGTTAAGACTTAGACATAGAATTCAAGTATTCGATAAAGATTGGACATATGATCGTACCCGTGTTGAGCCTGTTAACAAAAATTATAAGCGTCCTACTATTAAGCAATCTCGTTTTGGTAAAGATGCTACATATACTACTGTGACTATGGCTAATCCATGTGTTAAAAATAATCCTAAAATAACATTCGTTAATTCTTATCAGAAGATATTTTATCCTGCCTTTAGTACTATGTTTATTTCTAAAGTGGAACAGTTAGATAATGATGAACCCTCAGAAAAAAAACAGAAGTTGTTGTAAATTATGTATTTTAATAAAATTATTAACATATATATTGTTTTTATTATAAAAAAATAAAATCCTGAAATTTGTCCAAAACCCCTGCAGTGCATGTGTCTTTGTCTAGTTTGTGCATGCTTAACATATACAATAACTCAGGTCCACAAGTGTTTATTTCTTGTATTTCCTTGTCATTGAATATATTAAGCAAAGGTGTGCCTAGGAAAAGTATCGTACACCTATTTTCAAACGCTTGATACTCGGAGGGATGCCATTTTAATATGTCGAACTTTGATGTAGAATTCATGGTGATTAAAGTTGGATGTGGGTCGATTGGCATCGCATCTTTGTATTTCACGTCTGTTGTAAGGGTGTTTGATCCTTCTAATAGTTGTTTCATCAACTGAATCACGCCTATGTGCTCGAAAACCATTTCGTCGCATCTATAAGCTAAACAGTTACTTAATGCCTGAAGTAGGAAAGCAGACGGATTAGGTCCAGTGGGACAGTTGAAGTACCCAATTTCATGAGGCTTAAAGTTAGAATATAATAGATTAGCAAGAAATGTTTTACCTGAATCTGATGGTCCACATAGAATGAGTCCTCGTTTTTTATGGTTTAAGTTGAAGATAAAGTTGCAAAGTAACTGTTTTAGCCTATTGACTGAGATTTGGTTTTCTAGTGCGATGTTAGATAGGAAGAACATCAGAGCACCCAAACGTGATTTGTTGTTTGATACAACTATCCTAGGCGTTAGTACGTCTATGTTACGTTGTTGTAAGTACACCTGTCGGAATATTGTCTTCTTTATAATTTCAAGATCTTTCAGTTGTATAGTGAATTCTAGTTGTCTAAGTTCTTCGCTTCTAGCCAGTTCGTCGTCATAATGTCTGGAGTTCATTATGTTGTGTTTAAATAAGTAAGTTGCGAAGTTATGTTTTTGTTGTTGTTTTAACGGTTGGCGTTTTGTTATTATTGTTTCGTCTGGTATATTGTCTAAGTCAAATGTAATGTGCGATTTTACGTAGTTAATCACGTTCAAGCACGTACACAACAGCATTCTTGTAGTAAGAAGCGGTAGTAACGTGCTTAACCGAAATTCTCGAGTTGCAGATGTGACAGTAGTGTCCGTACCGTTTTCTTGTGATGTCGGCACATCCCCTGCAGAGGTATTGTCGTTCTCTGAAATTCGGGACTTCGTTCGGATTTGTCCAAGACTTAGCTGGCGAGGATAACGTGGGTGTGAAGTTGCCCTGAATATTCGCTCTCTTTTCCATCAAAGTATTTACATATTGTGTGGGTCTTAGAGCAAAGGTCCAGGGCGTCGCATTTCGTTTCCTTTTGGTTGTACCATATTGATGTTGTTGGTTTCCCTGTATGAATAACATGGAAAATATCAAAGCCTCGCTTTAATTCTTTGTTAAAACATAGTAGTTCCTAAAATTATATATATTTATGTTAAATTTTAAATTAAATATTTGTGCTTATATATTTGTATTAATATATAGTCTTACCGAGTTATCTAACTTTAATTCTGCGCATCTGTTGGTACGGGTAATGTTGTCGCAGCATGCAATGGTTTCTTTTTCCTCGATCTCTTCGACCCATTCCTCGTCTGACGAAATTTCAATAATATTTTCTCCGCTTGTTGTATCTGTTTCTTTTTCGCTTTCAGTAACATTTTCGCACTTTGGAGGAAAAGTTGTTGATCCTTCTTCACTATCCAGCTGACATCCTGATACGATAGCGTTTCTAGATTCTGTTCTGGTGTCATTAAAATTATTTTCTCTTCCAAACATTTTGCTAGAGCCTTCTCCGTCGATAGTTGTTTCACTCTGTTGCTGTAGTAGCGGGATTTCAGTAGTTGAATTGCTTTTTCGTAAGGCGTGTTCGTTTCCAGTGATGGTATAATATTCATTGAGCAACTCTCTATATTCGTATTCGTTATGTCCTTTATTAAGCTGCTCTTCGATGTATTGTAACTTTCGTCTAATTTCTGGTGAGTCGATATTAATTCTTCGTTTTGTGGCTCTTTCTTTTTCTCGTGAGACTTTTTTAATATTAGGCATTCCCAATATACTTCGTTATTGTAATCTTTGTCTTGATAAAAATTTACACTTGTATCGTCGCTTTCTAAACTCATAACTGCTTTATTAAAAATAAGTTTGCTTTTTATTATAAAAAATGATTGACGTTTCTATGGTAAATAATAGAGAAAAAAACAAAAAGATTATCTTTTTACAATAGGAGATTAAGCGTATTGTTTAAAGTGACAGTAATACGAAACATTTATAAATTCTTCTCCAACCTACCATCCCAACCAACCCTTGACACACCCCCGCCTCCGCCCACTATGAGATCTCATAGCGGGCGGGGTGGGGTGTGTCAAGGGTTGGTTGGGATGGTAGGTTGGAGAAGAATTAAGAAATAAACACAACATAATGAACTCCAGACATTATGACGACGAACTGGCTAGAAGCGAAGAACTTAGACAACTAGAATTCACTATACAACTGAAAGATCTTGAAATTATAAAGAAGACAATATTCCGACAGGTCATGCCGTTTAGTGGTAACAAAAATTGCAAGCGTTTATATTTTTGTATTGACCCAGCTTATATTGGAAAAGATGTTATGCCTACTACTGTTAGAGGACGGTTAAGACTTAGACATAGAATTCAAGTATTCGATAAAGATTGGACATATGATCGTACCCGTGTTGAGCCTGTTAACGAAAATTATAAGCGTCCTACTATTAAGCAATCTCGTTTTGGTAAAGATGCTACATATACTACTGTGACTATGGCTAATCCATGTGTTAAAAATAATCCTAAAATAACATTCGTTAATTCTTATCAGAAGATATTTTATCCTGCCTTTAGTACTATGTTTATTTCTAAAGTGGAACAGTTAGATAATGATGAACACTCAGAAAAAAAACAGAAGTTGTTGTAAATTATGTATTTTAATAAAATTATTTACATATATATTGTTTTTATTATAAAAAAATAAAATCCTGAAATTTGTCCGAAACCCCTGCAGTGCATGTGTCTTTGTCTAGTTTGTGCATGCTTAACATATACAATAACTCAGGTCCACAAGTGTTTATTTCTTGTAATTCCTTGTCATTGAATATATTAAGCAAAGGTGTGCCTAGGAAAAGTATCGTACACCTATTTTCAAACGCTTGATACTCGGAGGGATGCCATTTTAATATGTCGAACTTTGATGTAGAATTCATGGTGATTAAAGTTGGATGTGGGTCGATTAACATCGCATCTTTGTATTTCACGTCTGTTGTAAGGGTGTTTGATCCTTCTAATAGTTGTTTCATCAACTGAATCACGCCTAGGTGCTCGAAAACCATTTCGTCGCATCTATAAGCTAAACAGTTACTTAATGCCTGAAGTAGGAAAGCAGATGGATTAGGTCCAGTGGGACAGTTGAAGTACCCAATTTCATGAGGCTTAAAGTTAGAATATAATAGATTAGCAAGAAATGTTTTACCTGAATCTGATGGTCAACATAGAATGAGTCCTCGTTTTTCATGGTTTAAGTTGAAGATAAAGTTGCAAAGTAACTGTTTTAGCCTATTGACTGAGTTTTGGTTTTCTAGTGCGATGTTAGATAGGAAGAACATCAGAGCACCCAAACGTGATTTGTTGTTTGATACAACTATCCTAGGCGTTAGTACGTCTATGTTACGTTGTTGTAAGTACACCTGTCGGAATATTGTCTTCTTTATAATTTCAAGATCTTTCAGTTGTATAGTGAATTCTAGTTGTCTAAGTTCTTCGCTTCTAGCCAGTTCGTCGTCATAATGTCTGGAGTTCATTATGTTGTGTTTAAATAAGTAAGTTGCGAAGTTATGTTTTTGTTGTTGTTTTAACGGTTGGCGTTTTGTTATTATTGTTTCGTCTGGTATATTGTCTAAGTCAAATGTAATGTGCGATTTTACGTAGTTAATCACGTTCAAGCACGTACACAACAGCATTCTTGTAGTAAGAAGCGGTAGTAACGTGCTTAACCGAAATTCTCGAGTTGCAGATGTGACAGTAGTGTCCGTACCGTTTTCTTGTGATGTCGGCACATCCCCTGCAGAGGTATTGTCGTTCTCTGAAATATGCTCTTCGAATTCTGAGTTGTTCACCTTCGGGACTTCGTTCGGATTTGTCCAAGACATAGCTGGCGAGGATAACGTGGGTGTGAAGTTGCCCTGAATGTTCGCTCTCTTTTCCATCAAAGTATTTACATATTGTGTGGGTCTTAGAGCAAAGGTCCAGGGCGTCGCATTTCGTTTCCTTTTGGTTGTACCATATGTTTTACCTGAATCTGATGGTCCACATAGAATGAGTCCTCGTTTTTTATGGTTTAAGTTGAAGATAAAGTTGCAAAGTAACTGTTTTAGCCTATTGACTGAGATTTGGTTTTCTAGTGCGATGTTAGATAGGAAGAACATCAGAGCACCCAAACGTGATTTGTTGTTTGATACAACTATCCTAGGCGTTAGTACGTCTATGTTACGTTGTTGTAAGTACACCTGTCGGAATATTGTCTTCTTTATAATTTCAAGATCTTTCAGTTGTATAGTGAATTCTAGTTGTCTAAGTTCTTCGCTTCTAGCCAGTTCGTCGTCATAATGTCTGGAGTTCATTATGTTGTGTTTAAATAAGTAAGTTGCGAAGTTATGTTTTTGTTGTTGTTTTAACGGTTGGCGTTTTGTTATTATTGTTTCGTCTGGTATATTGTCTAAGTCAAATGTAATGTGCGATTTTACGTAGTTAATCACGTTCAAGCACGTACACAACAGCATTCTTGTAGTAAGAAGCGGTAGTAACGTGCTTAACCGAAATTCTCGAGTTGCAGATGTGACAGTAGTGTCCGTACCGTTTTCTTGTGATGTCGGCACATCCCCTGCAGAGGTATTGTCGTTCTCTGAAATTCGGGACTTCGTTCGGATTTGTCCAAGACTTAGCTGGCGAGGATAACGTGGGTGTGAAGTTGCCCTGAATATTCGCTCTCTTTTCCATCAAAGTATTTACATATTGTGTGGGTCTTAGAGCAAAGGTCCAGGGCGTCGCATTTCGTTTCCTTTTGGTTGTACCATATTGATGTTGTTGGTTTCCCTGTATGAATAACATGGAAAATATCAAAGCCTCGCTTTAATTCTTTGTTAAAACATAGTAGTTCCTAAAATTATATATATTTATGTTAAATTTTAAATTAAATATTTGTGCTTATATATTTGTATTAATATATAGTCTTACCGAGTTATCTAACTTTAATTCTGCGCATCTGTTGGTACGGGTAATGTTGTCGCAGCATGCAATGGTTTCTTTTTCCTCGATCTCTTCGACCCATTCCTCGTCTGACGAAATTTCAATAATATTTTCTCCGCTTGTTGTATCTGTTTCTTTTTCGCTTTCAGTAACATTTTCGCACTTTGGAGGAAAAGTTGTTGATCCTTCTTCACTATCCAGCTGACATCCTGATACGATAGCGTTTCTAGATTCTGTTCTGGTGTCATTAAAATTATTTTCTCTTCCAAACATTTTGCTAGAGCCTTCTCCGTCGATAGTTGTTTCACTCTGTTGCTGTAGTAGCGGGATTTCAGTAGTTGAATTGCTTTTTCGTAAGGCGTGTTCGTTTCCAGTGATGGTATAATATTCATTGAGCAACTCTCTATATTCGTATTCGTTATGTCCTTTATTAAGCTGCTCTTCGATGTATTGTAACTTTCGTCTAATTTCTGGTGAGTCGATATTAATTCTTCGTTTTGTGGCTCTTTCTTTTTCTCGTGAGACTTTTTTAATATTAGGCATTCCCAATATACTTCGTTATTGTAATCTTTGTCTTGATAAAAATTTACACTTGTATCGTCGCTTTCTAAACTCATAACTGCTTTATTAAAAATAAGTTTGCTTTTTATTATAAAAAATGATTGACGTTTCTATGGTAAATAATAGAGAAAAAAACAAAAAGATTATCTTTTTACAATAGGAGATTAAGCGTATTGTTTAAAGTGACAGTAATACGAAACATTTATAAATTCTTCTCCAACCTACCATCCCAACCAACCCTTGACACACCCCCGCCTCCGCCCACTATGAGATCTCATAGCGGGCGGGGTGGGGTGTGTCAAGGGTTGGTTGGGATGGTAGGTTGGAGAAGAATTAAGAAATAAACACAACATAATGAACTCCAGACATTATGACGACGAACTGGCTAGAAGCGAAGAACTTAGACAACTAGAATTCACTATACAACTGAAAGATCTTGAAATTATAAAGAAGACAATATTCCGACAGGTCATGCCGTTTAGTGGTAACAAAAATTGCAAGCGTTTATATTTTTGTATTGACCCAGCTTATATTGGAAAAGATGTTATGCCTACTACTGTTAGAGGACGGTTAAGACTTAGACATAGAATTCAAGTATTCGATAAAGATTGGACATATGATCGTACCCGTGTTGAGCCTGTTAACGAAAATTATAAGCGTCCTACTATTAAGCAATCTCGTTTTGGTAAAGATGCTACATATACTACTGTGACTATGGCTAATCCATGTGTTAAAAATAATCCTAAAATAACATTCGTTAATTCTTATCAGAAGATATTTTATCCTGCCTTTAGTACTATGTTTATTTCTAAAGTGGAACAGTTAGATAATGATGAACACTCAGAAAAAAAACAGAAGTTGTTGTAAATTATGTATTTTAATAAAATTATTTACATATATATTGTTTTTATTATAAAAAAATAAAATCCTGAAATTTGTCCGAAACCCCTGCAGTGCATGTGTCTTTGTCTAGTTTGTGCATGCTTAACATATACAATAACTCAGGTCCACAAGTGTTTATTTCTTGTAATTCCTTGTCATTGAATATATTAAGCAAAGGTGTGCCTAGGAAAAGTATCGTACACCTATTTTCAAACGCTTGATACTCGGAGGGATGCCATTTTAATATGTCGAACTTTGATGTAGAATTCATGGTGATTAAAGTTGGATGTGGGTCGATTAACATCGCATCTTTGTATTTCACGTCTGTTGTAAGGGTGTTTGATCCTTCTAATAGTTGTTTCATCAACTGAATCACGCCTAGGTGCTCGAAAACCATTTCGTCGCATCTATAAGCTAAACAGTTACTTAATGCCTGAAGTAGGAAAGCAGATGGATTAGGTCCAGTGGGACAGTTGAAGTACCCAATTTCATGAGGCTTAAAGTTAGAATATAATAGATTAGCAAGAAATGTTTTACCTGAATCTGATGGTCCACATAGAATGAGTCCTCGTTTTTTATGGTTTAAGTTGAAGATAAAGTTGCAAAGTAACTGTTTTAGCCTATTGACTGAGATTTGGTTTTGTAGTGCGATGTTAGATAGGAAGAACATCAGAGCACCCAAACGTGATTTGTTGTTTGATACAACTATCCTAGGCGTTAGTACGTCTATGTTACGTTGTTGTAAGTACACCTATCGGAATATTGTCTTCTTTATAATTTCAAGATCTTTCAGTTGTATAGTGAATTATAGTTGTCTAAGTTCTTCGCTTCTGGCCAGTTCGTCGTCATAATGTCTGGAGTTCATTATGTTGTGTTTAAATAAGTAAGTTGCGAGGTTATGTTTTTGTTGTTGTTTTAACGGTTGGCGTTTTGTTATTATTGTTTCGTCTGGTATATTGTCTAAGTCAAATGTAATGTGCGATTTTACGTAGTTAATCACGTTCAAGCACGTACACAACAGCATTCTTGTAGTAAGAAGCGGTAGTAACGTGCTTAACCGAAATTCTCAAGTTGCAGATGTGACAGTAGTGTCCGTACCGTTTTCTTGTGATGTCGGCACATCCCCTGCAGAGGTATTGTCGTTCTCTGAAATATGCTCTTCGAATTCTGAGTTGTTCACCTTCGGGACTTCGTTCGGATTTGTCCAAGACATAGCTGGCGAGGATAACGTTGGTGTGAAGTTGCCCTGAATGTTCGCTCTCTTTTCCATCAAAGTATTTACATATTGTGTGGGTCTTAGAGCAAAGGTCCAGGGCGTCGCATTTCGTTTCCTTTTGGTTGTACCATATGTTTTACCTGAATCTGATGGTCCACATAGAATGAGTCCTCGTTTTTTATGGTTTAAGTTGAAGATAAAGTTGCAAAGTAACTGTTTTAGCCTATTGACTGAGATTTGGTTTTCTAGTGCGATGTTAGATAGGAAGAACATCAGAGCACCCAAACGTGATTTGTTGTTTGATACAACTATCCTAGGCGTTAGTACGTCTATGTTACGTTGTTGTAAGTACACCTGTCGGAATATTGTCTTCTTTATAATTTCAAGATCTTTCAGTTGTATAGTGAATTCTAGTTGTCTAAGTTCTTCGCTTCTAGCCAGTTCGTCGTCATAATGTCTGGAGTTCATTATGTTGTGTTTAAATAAGTAAGTTGCGAAGTTATGTTTTTGTTGTTGTTTTAACGGTTGGCGTTTTGTTATTATTGTTTCGTCTGGTATATTGTCTAAGTCAAATGTAATGTGCGATTTTACGTAGTTAATCACGTTCAAGCACGTACACAACAGCATTCTTGTAGTAAGAAGCGGTAGTAACGTGCTTAACCGAAATTCTCGAGTTGCAGATGTGACAGTAGTGTCCGTACCGTTTTCTTGTGATGTCGGCACATCCCCTGCAGAGGTATTGTCGTTCTCTGAAATATGCTCTTCGAATTCTGAGTTGTTCACCTTCGGGACTTCGTTCGGATTTGTCCAAGACATAGCTGGCGAGGATAACGTGGGTGTGAGGTTGCCCTGAATATTCGCTCTCTTTTCCATCAAAGTATTTACATATTGTGTGGGTCTTAGAGCAAAGGTCCAGGGCGTCGCATTTCGTTTCCTTTTGGTTGTACCATATTGATGTTGTTGGTTTCCCTGTATGAATAACATGGAAAATATCAAAGCCTCGCTTTAATTCTATGTTAAAACATAGTAGTTCCTAAAATTATATATATTTATGTTAAATTTTAAATTAAATATTTGTGCTTATATATTTGTATTAATATATAGTCTTACCGAATTATCTAACTTTAATTCTGCGCATCTGTTGGTACGGGTAATGTCGTCGCAGCATGCAATGGTTTCTTTTTCCTCAATCTCTTCGACCCATTCCTCGTCTGACGAAATTTCAATAATGTTTTCTCCGCTTGTTGTATCTGTTTCTTTTTCGCTTTCAGTAACATTTTCCCACTTTGGAGGAATAGTTTTTGATCCTTCTTCACTATCCAGCTGACATCCTGATACGATAGCGTTTCTAGATTCTGTTCTGGTGTCATTAAAATTATTTTCTCTTCCAAACATTTTGCTAGAGCCTTCTCCGTCGATAGTTGTTTCGCTCTGTTGCTGTAGTAGCGGGATTTCAGTAGTTGAATTGCTTTTTCGTAAGGCGTGTTCGTTTCCAGTGATGGTATAATATTCATTGAGCAACTCTCTATATTCGTATTCGTTATGTCCTTTATTAGGCTGCTCTTCGATGTATTGTAACTTTCGTCTAATTTCTGGTGAGTCGATATTAATTCTTCGTTTTGTGGCTCTTTCTTTTCCTCGTGAGACTTTTTTAATATTAGGCATTCCCAATATACTTCGTTATTGTAATCTTTGTCTTGATAAAAATTTACACTTGTATCGTCGCTTTCTAAACTCATAACTGCTTTATTAAAAATAAGTTTGCTTTTTATTATAAAAAATGATTGGCGTTTCTATGGTAAATAATAGAGAAATAAACAAAAAGATTATCTTTTTACAATAGGAGATTAAGCGTATTGTTTAAAGTGACAGTAATACGAAACATTTATAAATTCTTCTCCAACCTACCATCCCAACCAACCCTTGACACTCCCCCGCCTCCGCCCACTATGAGATCTCATAGCGGGCGGGGTGGGGTGTGTCAAGAGTTGGTTGGGATGGTAGGTTGGAGAAGAATTAAGAAATAAACACAACATAATGAACTCCAGACATTATGACGACGAACTGGCTAGAAGCGAAGAACTTAGACAACTAGAATTCACTATACAACTGAAAGATCTTGAAATTATAAAGAAGACAATATTCCGACAGGTCATGCCGTTTAGTGGTAACAAAAATTGCAAGCGTTTATATTTTTGTATTGACCCAGCTTATATTGGAAAAGATGTTATGCCTACTACTGTTAGAGGACGGTTAAGACTTAGACATAGAATTCAAGTATTCGATAAAGATTGGACATATGATCGTACCCGTGTTGAGCCTGTTAACGAAAATTATAAGCGTCCTACTATTAAGCAATCTCGTTTTGGTAAAGATGCTACATATACTACTGTGACTATGGCTAATCCATGTGTTAAAAATAATCCTAAAATAACATTCGTTAATTCTTATCAGAAGATATTTTATCCTGCCTTTAGTACTATGTTTATTTCTAAAGTGGAACAGTTAGATAATGATGAACACTCAGAAAAAAAACAGAAGTTGTTGTAAATTATGTATTTTAATAAAATTATTTACATATATATTGTTTTTATTATAAAAAAATAAAATCCTGAAATTTGTCCGAAACCCCTGCAGTGCATGTGTCTTTGTCTAGTTTGTGCATGCTTAACATATACAATAACTCAGGTCCACAAGTGTTTATTTCTTGTAATTCCTTGTCATTGAATATATTAAGCAAAGGTGTGCCTAGGAAAAGTATCGTACACCTATTTTCAAACGCTTGATACTCGGAGGGATGCCATTTTAATATGTCGAACTTTGATGTAGAATTCATGGTGATTAAAGTTGGATGTGGGTCGATTGGCATCGCATCTTTGTATTTCACGTCTGTTGTAAGGGTGTTTGATCCTTCTAATAGTTGTTTCATCAACTGAATCACGCCTAGGTGCTCGAAAACCATTTCGTCGCATCTATAAGCTAAACAGTTACTTAATGCCTGAAGTAGGAAAGCAGATGGATTAGGTCCAGTGGGACAGTTGAAGTACCCAATTTCATGAGGCTTAAAGTTAGAATATAATAGATTAGCAAGAAATGTTTTACCTGAATCTGATGGTCCACATAGAATGAGTCCTCGTTTTTTATGGTTTAAGTTGAAGATAAAGTTGCAAAGTAACTGTTTTAGCCTATTGACTGAGATTTGGTTTTGTAGTGCGATGTTAGATAGGAAGAACATCAGAGCACCCAAACGTGATTTGTTGTTTGATACAACTATCCTAGGCGTTAGTACGCCTATGTTACGTTGTTGTAAGTACACCTGTCGGAATATTGTCTTCTTTATAATTTCAAGATCTTTCAGTTGTATAGTGAATTCTAGTTGTCTAAGTTCTTCGCTTCTAGCCAGTTCGTCGTCATAATGTCTGGAGTTCATTATGTTGTGTTTAAATAAGTAAGTTGCGAAGTTATGTTTTTGTTGTTGTTTTAACGGTTGGCGTTTTGTTATTATTGTTTCGTCTGGTATATTGTCTAAGTCAAATGTAATGTGCGATTTTACGTAGTTAATCACGTTCAAGCACGTACACAACAGCATTCTTGTAGTAAGAAGCGGTAGTAACGTGCTTAACCGAAATTCTCGAGTTGCAGATGTGACAGTAGTGTCCGTACCGTTTTCTTGTGATGTCGGCACATCCCCTGCAGAGGTATTGTCGTTCTCTGAAATATGCTCTTCGAATTCTGAGTTGTTCACCTTCGGGACTTCGTTCGGATTTGTCCAAGACATAGCTGGCGAGGATAACGTGGGTGTGAGGTTGCCCTGAATATTCGCTCTCTTTTCCATCAAAGTATTTACATATTGTGTGGGTCTTAGAGCAAAGGTCCAGGGCGTCGCATTTCGTTTCCTTTTGGTTGTACCATATTGATGTTGTTGGTTTCCCTGTATGAATAACATGGAAAATATCAAAGCCTCGCTTTAATTCTTTGTTAAAACATAGTAGTTCCTAAAATTATATATATTTATGTTAAATTTTAAATTAAATATTTGTGCTTATATATTTGTATTAATATATAGTCTTACCGAATTATCTAACTTTAATTCTGCGCATCTGTTAGTACGGGTAATGTCGTCGCAGCATGCAATGGTTTCTTTTTCCTCAATCTCTTCGACCCATTCCTCGTCTGACGAAATTTCAATAATGTTTTCTCCGCTTGTTGTATCTGTTTCTTTTTCGCTTTCAGTAACATTTTCGCACTTTGGAGGAATAGTTTTTGATCCTTCTTCACTATCCAGCTGACATCCTGATACGATAGCGTTTCTAGATTCTGTTCTGGTGTCATTAAAATTATTTTCTCTTCCAAACATTTTGCTAGAGCCTTCTCCGTCGATAGTTGTTTCGCTCTGTTGCTGTAGTAGCGGGATTTCAGTAGTTGAATTGCTTTTTCGTAAGGCGTGTTCGTTTCCAGTGATGGTATAATATTCATTGAGCAACTCTCTATATTCGTATTCGTTATGTCCTTTATTAGGCTGCTCTTCGATGTATTGTAACTTTCGTCTAATTTCTGGTGAGTCGATATTAATTCTTCGTTTTGTGGCTCTTTCTTTTCCTCGTGAGACTTTTTTAATATTAGGCATTCCCAATATACTTCGTTATTGTAATCTTTGTCTTGATAAAAATTTACACTTGTATCGTCGCTTTCTAAACTCATAACTGCTTTATTAAAAATAAGTTTGCTTTTTATTATAAAAAATGATTGGCGTTTCTATGGTAAATAATAGAGAAATAAACAAAAAGATTATCTTTTTACAATAGGAGATTAAGCGTATTGTTTAAAGTGACAGTAATACGAAACATTTATAAATTCTTCTCCAACCTACCATCCCAACCAACCCTTGACACTCCCCCGCCTCCGCCCACTATGAGATCTCATAGCGGGCGGGGTGGGGTGTGTCAAGAGTTGGTTGGGATGGTAGGTTGGAGAAGAATTAAGAAATAAACACAACATAATGAACTCCAGACATTATGACGACGAACTGGCTAGAAGCGAAGAACTTAGACAACTAGAATTCACTATACAACTGAAAGATCTTGAAATTATAAAGAAGACAATATTCCGACAGGTCATGCCGTTTAGTGGTAACAAAAATTGCAAGCGTTTATATTTTTGTATTGACCCAGCTTATATTGGAAAAGATGTTATGCCTACTACTGTTAGAGGACGGTTAAGACTTAGACATAGAATTCAAGTATTCGATAAAGATTGGACATATGATCGTACCCGTGTTGAGCCTGTTAACGAAAATTATAAGCGTCCTACTATTAAGCAATCTCGTTTTGGTAAAGATGCTACATATACTACTGTGACTATGGCTAATCCATGTGTTAAAAATAATCCTAAAATAACATTCGTTAATTCTTATCAGAAGATATTTTATCCTGCCTTTAGTACTATGTTTATTTCTAAAGTGGAACAGTTAGATAATGATGAACACTCAGAAAAAAAACAGAAGTTGTTGTAAATTATGTATTTTAATAAAATTATTTACATATATATTGTTTTTATTATAAAAAAATAAAATCCTGAAATTTGTCCGAAACCCCTGCAGTGCATGTGTCTTTGTCTAGTTTGTGCATGCTTAACATATACAATAACTCAGGTCCACAAGTGTTTATTTCTTGTAATTCCTTGTCATTGAATATATTAAGCAAAGGTGTGCCTAGGAAAAGTATCGTACACCTATTTTCAAACGCTTGATACTCGGAGGGATGCCATTTTAATATGTCGAACTTTGATGTAGAATTCATGGTGATTAAAGTTGGATGTGGGTCGATTAACATCGCATCATTGTATTTCACGTCTGTTGTAAGGGTGTTTGATCCTTCTAATAGTTGTTTCATCAACTGAATCACGCCTAGGTGCTCGAAAACCATTTCGTCGCATCTATAAGCTAAACAGTTACTTAATGCCTGAAGTAGGAAAGCAGATGGATTAGGTCCAGTGGGACAGTTGAAGTACCCAATTTCATGAGGCTTAAAGTTAGAATATAATAGATTAGCAAGAAATGTTTTACCTGATTCTGATGGTCCACATAGAATGAGTCCTCGTTTTTTATGGTTTAAGTTGAAGATAAAGTTGCAAAGTAACTGTTTTAGCCTATTGACTGAGATTTGGTTTTGTAGTGCGATGTTAGATAGGAAGAACATCAGAGCACCCAAACGTGATTTGTTGTTTGATACAACTATCCTAGGCGTTAGTACGTCTATGTTACGTTGTTGTAAGTACACCTGTCGGAATATTGTCTTCTTTATAATTTCAAGATCTTTCAGTTGTATAGTGAATTCTAGTTGTCTAAGTTCTTCGCTTCTAGCCAGTTCGTCGTCATAATGTCTGGAGTTCAGTATGTTGTGTTTAAATAAGTAAGTTGCGAAGTTATGTTTTTGTTGTTGTTTTAACGGTTGGCGTTTTGTTATTATTGTTTCGTCTGGTATATTGTCTAAGTCAAATGTAATGTGCGATTTTACGTAGTTATTCACGTTCAAGCACGTACACAACAGCATTCTTGTAGTAAGAAGCGGTAGTAACGTGCTTAACCGAAATTCTCGAGTTGCAGATGTGACAGTAGTGTCCGTACCGTTTTCTTGTGATGTCGGCACATCCCCTGCAGAGGTATTGTCGTTCTCTGAAATATGCTCTTCGAATTCTGAGTTGTTCACCTTCGGGACTTCGTTCGGATTTGTCCAAGACATAGCTGGCGAGGATAACATTGGTGTGAAGTTGCCCTGAATGTTCGCTCTCTTTTCCATCAAAGTATTTACATATTGTGTGGGTCTTAGAGCAAAGGTCCAGGGCGTCGCATTTCGTTTCCTTTTGGTTGTACCATATGTTTTACCTGAATCTGATGGTCCACATAGAATGAGTCCTCGTTTTTTATGGTTTAAGTTGAAGATAAAGTTGCAAAGTAACTGTTTTAGCCTATTGACTGAGATTTGGTTTTCTAGTGCGATGTTAGATAGGAAGAACATCAGAGCACCCAAACGTGATTTGTTGTTTGATACAACTATCCTAGGCGTTAGTACGTCTATGTTACGTTGTTGTAAGTACACCTGTCGGAATATTGTCTTCTTTATAATTTCAAGATCTTTCAGTTGTATAGTGAATTCTAGTTGTCTAAGTTCTTCGCTTCTAGCCAGTTCGTCGTCATAATGTCTGGAGTTCATTATGTTGTGTTTAAATAAGTAAGTTGCGAAGTTATGTTTTTGTTGTTGTTTTAACGGTTGGCGTTTTGTTATTATTGTTTCGTCTGGTATATTGTCTAAGTCAAATGTAATGTGCGATTTTACGTAGTTAATCACGTTCAAGCACGTACACAACAGCATTCTTGTAGTAAGAAGCGGTAGTAACGTGCTTAACCGAAATTCTCGAGTTGCAGATGTGACAGTAGTGTCCGTACCGTTTTCTTGTGATGTCGGCACATCCCCTGCAGAGGTGTTGTCGTTCTCTGAAATTCGGGACTTCGTTCGGATTTGTCCAAGACTTAGCTGGCGAGGATAACGTGGGTGTGAAGTTGCCCTGAATATTCGCTCTCTTTTCCATCAAAGTATTTACATATTGTGTGGGTCTTAGAGCAAAGGTCCAGGGCGTCGCATTTCGTTTCCTTTTGGTTGTACCATATTGATGTTGTTGGTTTCCCTGTATGAATAACATGGAAAATATCAAAGCCTCGCTTTAATTCTTTGTTAAAACATAGTAGTTCCTAAAATTATATATATTTATGTTAAATTTTAAATTAAATATTTGTGCTTATATATTTGTATTAATATATAGTCTTACCGAGTTATCTAACTTTAATTCTGCGCATCTGTTGGTACGGGTAATGTTGTCGCAGCATGCAATGGTTTCTTTTTCCTCGATCTCTTCGACCCATTCCTCGTCTGACGAAATTTCAATAATATTTTCTCCGCTTGTTGTATCTGTTTCTTTTTCGCTTTCAGTAACATTTTCGCACTTTGGAGGAAAAGTTGTTGATCCTTCTTCACTATCCAGCTGACATCCTGATACGATAGCGTTTCTAGATTCTGTTCTGGTGTCATTAAAATTATTTTCTCTTCCAAACATTTTGCTAGAGCCTTCTCCGTCGATAGTTGTTTCACTCTGTTGCTGTAGTAGCGGGATTTCAGTAGTTGAATTGCTTTTTCGTAAGGCGTGTTCGTTTCCAGTGATGGTATAATATTCATTGAGCAACTCTCTATATTCGTATTCGTTATGTCCTTTATTAAGCTGCTCTTCGATGTATTGTAACTTTCGTCTAATTTCTGGTGAGTCGATATTAATTCTTCGTTTTGTGGCTCTTTCTTTTTCTCGTGAGACTTTTTTAATATTAGGCATTCCAAATATACTTCGTTATTGTAATCTTTGTCTTGATAAAAATTTACACTTGTATCGTCGCTTTCTAAACTCATAACTGCTTTATTAAAAATAAGTTTGCTTTTTATTATAAAAAATGATTGACGTTTCTATGGTAAATAATAGAGAAAAAAACAAAAAGATTATCTTTTTACAATAGGAGATTAAGCGTATTGTTTAAAGTGACAGTAATACGAAACATTTATAAATTCTTCTCTAACCTACCATCCGAACCAACCCTTGACACACCCCCGCCTCCGCCCACTATGAGATCTCATAGCGGGCGGGGTGGGGGTGTGTCAAGGGTTGGTTGGGATGGTAGGTTGGAGAAGAATTAAGAAATAAACACAACATAATGAACTCCAGACATTATGACGACGAACTGGCTAGAAACGAAGAACTTAGACAACTAGAATTCACTATACAACTGAAAGATCTTGAAATTGTAAAGAAGACAATATTCCGACAGGTCATGCCGTTTAGTGGTAACAAAAATTGCAAGCGTTTATATTTTTGTATTGACCCAGCTTATATTGGAAAAGATGTTATGCCTACTACTGTTAGAGGACGGTTAAGACTTAGACATAGAATTCAAGTATTCGATAAAGATTGGACATATGATCGTACCCGTGTTGAGCCTGTTAACGAAAATTATAAGCGTCCTACTATTAAGCAATCTCGTTTTGGTAAAGATGCTACATATACTACTGTGACTATGGCTAATCCATGTGTTAAAAATAATCCTAAAATAACATTCGTTAATTCTTATCAGAAGATATTTTATCCTGCCTTTAGTACTATGTTTATTTCTAAAGTGGAACAGTTAGATAATGATGAACACTCAGAAAAAAAACAGAAGTTGTTGTAAAGTATGTATTTTAATAAAATTATTTACATATATATTGTTTTTATTATAAAAAAATAAAATCCTGAAATTTGTCCGAAACCCCTGCAGTGCATGTGTCTTTGTCTAGTTTGTGCATGCTTAACATATACAATAACTCAGGTCCACAAGTGTTTATTTCTTGTAATTCCTTGTCATTGAATATATTAAGCAAAGGTGTGCCTAGGAAAAGTATCGTACACCTATTTTCAAACGCTTGATACTCGGAGGGATGCCATTTTAATATGTCGAACTTTGATGTAGAATTCATGGTGATTAAAGTTGGATGTGGGTCGATTGGCATCGCATCTTTGTATTTCACGTCTGTTGTAAGGGTGTTTGATCCTTCTAATAGTTGTTTCATCAACTGAATCACGCCTAGGTGCTCGAAAACCATTTCGTCGCATCTATAAGCTAAACAGTTACTTAATGCCTGAAGTAGGAAAGCAGATGGATTAGGTCCAGTGGGACAGTTGAAGTACCCAATTTCATGAGGCTTAAAGTTAGAATATAATAGATTAGCAAGAAATGTTTTACCTGAATCTGATGGTCCACATAGAATGAGTCCTCGTTTTTTATGGTTTAAGTTGAAGATAAAGTTGCAAAGTAACTGTTTTAGCCTATTGACTGAGATTTGGTTTTGTAGTGCGATGTTAGATAGGAAGAACATCAGAGCACCCAAACGTGATTTGTTGTTTGATACAACTATCCTAGGCGTTAGTACGTCTATGTTACGTTGTTGTAAGTACACCTGTCGGAATATTGTCTTCTTTATAATTTCAAGATCTTTCAGTTGTATAGTGAATTCTAGTTGTCTAAGTTCTTCGCTTCTAGCCAGTTCGTCGTCATAATGTCTGGAGTTCATTATGTTGTGTTTAAATAAGTAAGTTGCGAAGTTATGTTTTTGTTGTTGTTTTAACGGTTGGCGTTTTGTTATTATTGTTTCGTCTGGTATATTGTCTAAGTCAAATGTAATGTGCGATTTTACGTAGTTAATCACGTTCAAGCACGTACACAACAGCATTCTTGTAGAAAGAAGCGGTAGTAACGTGCTTAACCGAAATTCTCGAGTTGCAGATGTGACAGTAGTGTCCGTACCGTTTTCTTGTGATGTCGGCACATCCCCTGCAGAGGTATTGTCGTTCTCTGAAATATACTCTTCGAATTCTGAGTTGTTCACCTTCGGGACTTCGTTCGGATTTGTCCAAGACTTAGCTGGCGAGGATAACGTGGGTGTGAAGTTGCCCTGAATATTCGCTCTCTTTTCCATCAAAGTATTTACATATTGTGTGGGTCTTAGAGAAAAGGTCCAGGGCGTCGCATTTCGTTTCCTTTTGGTTGTACCATATTGATGTTGTTGGTTTCCCTGTATGAATAACATGGAAAATATCAAAGCCTCGCTTTAATTCTTTGTTAAAACATAGTAGTTCCTAAAATTATATATATTTATGTTAAATTTTAAATTAAATATTTGTGCTTATATATTTGTATTAATATATAGTCTTACCGAGTTATCTAACTTTAATTCTGCGCATCTGTTGGTACGGGTAATGTTGTCGCAGCATGCAATGGTTTCTTTTTCCTCGATCTCTTCGACCCATTCCTCGTCTGACGAAATTTCAATAATGTTTTCTCCGCTTGTTGTATCTGTTTCTTTTTCGCTTTCAGTAACATTTTCGCACTTTGGAGGAATAATTGTTGATCCTTCTTCACTATCCAGCTGACATCCTGATACGATAGCGTTTCTAGATTCTGTTCTGGTGTCATTAAAATTATTTTCTCTTCCAAACATTTTGCTAGAGCCTTATCCGTCGATAGTTGTTTCACTCTGTTGCTGTAGTAGCGGGATTTCAGTAGTTGAATTGCTTTTTCGTAAGGCGTGTTCGTTTCCAGTGATGGTATAATATTCATTGAGCAACTCTCTATATTCGTATTCGTTATGTCCTTTATTAAGCTGCTCTTCGATGTATTGTAACTTTCGTCTAATTTCTGGTGAGTCGATATTAATTCTTCGTTTTGTGGCTCTTTCTTTTCCTCGTGAGACTTTTTTGATATTAGGCATTCCCAATATACTTCGTTATTGTAATCTTTGTCTTGATAAAAATTTACACTTGTATCGTCGCTTTCTAAACTCATAACTGCTTTATTAAAAATAAGTTTGCTTTTTATTATAAAAAATGATTGACGTTTCTATGGTAAATAATAGAGAAAAAAACAAAAAGATTATCTTTTTACAATAGGAGATTAAGCGTATTGTTTAAAGTGACAGTAATACGAAACATTTATAAATTCTTCTCTAACCTACCATCCGAACCAACCCTTGACACACCCCCGCCTCCGCCCACTATGAGATCTCATAGCGGGCGGGGTGGGGGTGTGTCAAGGGTTGGTTGGGATGGTAGGTTGGAGAAGAATTAAGAAATAAACACAACATAATGAACTCCAGACATTATGACGATGAACTGGCTAGAAGCGAAGAACTTAGACAACTAGAATTCACTATACAACTGAAAGATCTTGAAATTATAAAGAAGACAATATTCCGACAGGTCATGCCGTTTAGTGGTAACAAAAATTGCGAGCGTTTATATTTTTGTATTGACCCAGCTTATATTGGAAAAGATGTTATGCCTACTACTGTTAGAGGACGGTTAAGACTTAGACATAGAATTCAAGTATTCGATAAAGATTGGACATATGATTGTACCCGTGTTGAGCCTGTTAACGAAAATTATAAGCGTCCTACTATTAAGCAATCTCGTTTTGGTAAAGATGCTACATATACTACTGTGACTATGGCTAATCCATGTGTTAAAAATAATCCTAAAATAACATTCGTTAATTCTTATCAGAAGATATTTTATCCTGCCTTTAGTACTATGTTTATTTCTAAAGTGGAACAGTTAGATAATGATGAACCCTCAGAAAAAAAACAGAAGTTGTTGTAAATTATGTATTTTAATAAAATTATTTACATATATATTGTTTTTATTATAAAAAAATAAAATCCTGAAATTTGTCCAAAACCCCTGCAGTGCATGTGTCTTTGTCTAGTTTGTGCATGCTTAACATATACAATAACTCAGGTCCACAAGTGTTTATTTCTTGTAATTCCTTGTCATTGAATATATTAAGCAAAGGTGTGCCTAGAAAAAGTATCGTACACCTATTTTCAAACGCGTGATACTCGGAGGGATGCCATTTTGAACTTTGATCTTGTAGAATACGGATCTCTTCTGCTCCTTTCTATCCTTGAAGAACATCTTGAGTCGTAGTTTTCTTTTGAATTTCTCCACACTAGCCTCGTATACTTCTCTTCCTACTTTCTGTGAATTGGGTATAAATTTCAGTCCTTTTCCAAGTGCTTCCTTTTCTTTATTTGTCAGTACGTGGTCGGATATGTTTGTTATCATTTTGTCAGTCAGGGCTGTTAGCATTCTTACCTTTTCGCTGTCCACCCATCGTTTAATGTCCCTGTCATGTCTAAAGTTTTCGCCCGGTGGAAAAAGAGTTCTCATGCTGAATGGACCAATTGCTCTTCTCTCATTTGATGGAGTGAATTTTCGTTTGTTGTTCTAAAGGTAAGTAATAGCGTGTATCATTTTTGTATTGCATGTATTTTACTGTTTCTTTACTATATATAAGTGGTATGGCAATTATTGGTATGTGGTTGTCCTTTGTTTTGTGAGTGCCCAAATAGTGGTATTTTAGTATGAGTAAAATTGTGAATAATAGTTATTAATTACATATGGATGCTTATACAAGATTATAGGAGATGTTGGCCGGGAGAGAAATGTATATGCATAAAGCACTGATTGTTGATAAATACAGTAGTGTGTTATATGCTTTGCAACGCGTGTTGTGTTATCCTGTGATGAGTGGCATTATAAATAAGGATTAATTAGTAAATAAATGAGTCAGTGTTCGCATATTTTGATATTTACATATTTAAATAAGCATATAAATCGTCTAAAAAATTACAGGTTCGTGTTATATTATTTCGTTAAGTGTATTGTTCATAAAGATTCATGTTCGCTCTTCGTCTTTCAGATATCGTCAAAAATAGTGTCACGGTTTCGTTTCTGGTAAGGGAGAGGTTGTAGGTTGAGGTATCTCATTTGATTGAAGTGAATGTCGAAGTAGTACCATCTGCTGTTGTGTGATTCTAAGTTTTTTGTA